CTTTCGAAAAAAGGCATTCTTGAATGCCAACAGGGCTTTTTCAAAAGAGCATCTAGATTTCCTGGGTGCTCTCTTTGAAAAAGTGGATCGCTTTTTTGAAACTCTTGTGGGCGTCTAGACAATCTCTTTCAAAAGAGGCTTTTTCAAAAGGGCTCTTTTGAAAAAGCCTCTTTGGAAAGAGGCTTGTAGTCTAGACGTACCCTATCTGTGTAAACAAAATGCACTCACATTAAGTATATCACTGGCTGCAATAAAATCATCAGAAATGGTATTTTAGGGTAGTCCTCTCATACAGTAGATCTGTACTGTGCTAGATGATTACTATGAAGCTTATCTCAGAGAACTCTGGGTCTACACTGTGATGGGTTCTCCATGAGGTGCCACCTGGAACTGGGATACCACTGAATCCCCCTGACCTACCAGCCTAGTTCCCACCCACACGTACTGTTGTGACAAGCTGCCAGCCCGACCCAGCTGCTCTTTCACCAGCATATATATAGGTAAGGACACACCCAGCTACAGTTACATGCAGACTCTTTGACCAATCCTTGCATAGGAAGGCTTTATCTAGAGCAGAGGTGGGGAACTTTTTTGGGGGGTCGGGGCTGCTGACTCTCAGAAATCAGTCAGGGGCTGCACACACCTGAGAAACAAAAAACAATACCCCTCTCCCAAACCCTCACTGACATGTCCCCTGACTGAGAAGGAGAAAGACACTCCTCACATTCCCCTCACACACCAGAGCCTAGGGTGGCCCAGGCTAGTATATTTTATGTGCTCCAGTCCCATGAAGGGACATTGCAGGGGGGCTGGAGTGCCAGCGTGGGCTCCCCAATGGTGATGGTGGGGAGTCCTGAGTCTCGGGGGCCAGATCTAGGCAATGCAGAGGCCTTAGGTTACCCACCCCTATACTAGAGCAACAACTAATTCCTTCGTCATGCATCTGACGAAGTGGGTCTTTGCCCACGAAAGCTTATGCTCCTACACCTCAGTTAGTCTATAAGGTGCCACAGGACTCCTCGCAACTAACTCCTTAGGCACACTGCCCTTCCTCCCCCCCGCAGAATATAAACACAAAATTATACCATCTTGCACTGCACAAGGAACAGTACAGCGTAAGCTTATGAAATCTGCCCCCTTCCTCAGTGTGGCAAGGAATATGCAACAGCCTTTTGTCCCCAAATTATGATTCCCACACACTGGTTAAGACTTTAAGTGATTATAAGTGACAGCACCCAGATCAAAACAGACTATCTAGGAAATAAACCAAAACACTAAATAGATTAGTTATGAATAGCAGGTTCTCATCCTAAGAAATGATTCAAGCAGGCTGCAGATTAAGGGACAAGCTGCACATTGTTTACATCTTGCAATTTCTCTGTATTCCACTCACAGGCTAAACATCACTTTAGCCTGGGGCCAGCATTTCCCAGTTCAGTCTTTTCCTCAGGTGTTTCTAGGAGTGTTCTTGGGTGGTGAGTCAGTGAAGACCCCCAGATTATGTCACTCCCCACTTTATATTGCTTTTGAATATGGAAGGAGTCCTTTGTTTCAAAGCCTGGTTCCCAGACCAGACTGTGTAAAAACACTTACATCCCAAGATGGAACATAGAGAACTGAAGCCATCTGAAAAGTCTTTTTACAAATGTCCTAAATCCAGTCTGGCAACATCTGAACCATGGATATTGCTGCACCAGAGAGCCCCAGAGGCAAGAAACACAAGCCAGCTGGGAATCCCATGAGTGCTGGAAAGCCCTAGCTGGGCCAGCAGGAGCTGGTTCTGTGGTGGGTTGGGAGTCCAGCCTTAGAGAGCCCCAGCCTGGGTAGCCCTGGTGGTGGCCTCAAGGAATCCCCAGCCCTGGAAGGGAACCCTAGCAGTAGCAGGGCTAGATGGGAGGAATCCTTGTTCCCAACTGGAACCCTAGCGGCAGCGGGACTGGCACTGACCGGGAAGAATCCCTGGTAGTGTCTAGGAACCTCAATGGCAGTGGGGCCGGTGTAGGCTGGAGAGTCCTAGCCCGAAGAGGCTGACCCTCAGAGCCCTAGCATGGGGCCAGCAGCAGAATGGGGAGCCTAATTCTGGGGACCCCAAAGCCCAGAGAGGAGCCTGACCTTCCCTGGAGGGCAAACTCTTTGGTTTGGGACCAGAGAAGTGCAACCTGTACAATCATAGCGGCCATTACATGCAGCATAAGCAACAATCTGACTTTACTTGTTAAAGCTGATACTTGCTCTGTTTCAGATTGGATACATGATTCTTAACCCTCCATTTCCAAGCTGGTCTCTAGCTTTTGGGGCCCCTGCTAATGTAGGATACATAGGCAGCTTTCACACTGTGACACTATGCCCCCATATTTTTATGGAAATATGTTTTTGAATATGAACTTGCATAACTCAGGGTACATCTACGCTTGCTCCCTAGTTCGAACTAGGGATGCAAATGTAGCCGACCGAAATTGCTAATGAAGCGGGAATTTAAATATGAGGAGTACCGTTAGTTTAAACCAAGCGGTTTGGTTCGAACTAATGCATCCTGGAGCGCACTTCCTGGTTCGAATCAGCTGGTGAGCGGAATAGCGTGCGGGCGAGATTATGCTAATGAAGCATGGGATATTTAAATCCTTGCTTCATTAGCAATTTCGGTCAGCTACATTTCCATCCCTAGTTCGAACTAGGGAGCAAGTGTAGACGTACCCTCTGATATGTTTTATGCAAAATTGGGCAAGAAACCTAGCATTCAATAATTTGTAATCCCTGAATGTGTATATTCTATTTGTGTGCATGTATCCTTCTTGTATGTGAAGTTAGAACTATGAAGTGTAAACCTGGTTATTAATCAAGGTCTTCCAGTGAAAGCCATTAATAGCAATTAAAATTTCAGTGGTTACATGGTTACATGCAGGGAACAGACAGATCCCCAAGAGCCTGTGCACACAGGGGTCTGGCTTTTAAATCAGCTCCTGCTTGACCCCCATACAGCTGTGCTGGGGGGGGAGAGAAGAGGGGCAGGTGGCTCCCCGGGAGCTAGTAAGTGAAAGCCGGCTCCCCCCGTGTACCAGGAGCCTGCGTGTAACCGTAAACATTAAGCGATTAGCCCAGGCTCATTGGTTAACCATGTATATGGTTACATTTTCATACCCCTAGTCCAAACACCCTCCACTTCCTATTGTAGCTATCTCATAACTACTTTTGAAACACTCCAATATAAACCCTTCTTGTAAAAACAAAAACCATCCTGGCCTCCATTTTGAGAAAGACTAGAAATGGGGACAAAAAACATGGGAATTTTCCAGGAGCCTATAGGACATTGATGCCTTCTCCCACAATTCCTTTGTGCTCCCCTAACATCTTACTGGAAGCCAGAGAACTGGGTAAGTCAACCACAGAACGCTGCATTTGTAACTGTGTAGTACAACACAAAGTAAGTGTGCATACCTATTTAGAAGTCAAGTGAAATCGGTTATGGAGAATATAACAAGAATGTTAAAAGTTAAAAGAAAATCTGTTAATGAGAGGAAAATCTGAATGTCATCCAGTCTGCATACTGCTGTCATTTGAGGTCACGGTGACTCACAATTTCCCTCAGTGGTTCCCATAGAGACTAGCGCTCTTTATCCATCTCTGTGGGCATTGTTAAATAATGAAGGCTTCTCAACCTTTCCTGTCAACTGCTGCTACATCTCTGAGGTGAGGCGTCTGACCATCGTCAGTAGTATCAGCTGCAACAGATGGACCCAAGAGGATGACACCTTCCGGCTATCCATAGATTGGAAATCTTCCACCCACTAGGAATGCCTAGTGTGTGTGACCTTGCCTAAAGTGCAAGGAGATGAGATTCAGCTGGAATGGAGGCAGTTTTTGGTTAATTGCTCAAAAATGGGTGTTCTGCCATTAGGGGCCCTGGAAATGTATCATTAGGCTCAACTGGGACATTGCTGTACTTGGGAAGGGACAGAAAGCTGCTCTCTACAAAGACGGTGCTGGCCCTTGTTGCCTGCAAAGGTCTGAAGGCACTTTTCACCATCTATGATGGAGTTGGATCAGTATCGCAGGCTCTTGAGAGTTGAAGCCACGGGGGAGGAAAATCCCTCAGTCCCTCTCCTTGGCATCGGCAGTAGAGATGTTAAATATTGACTCACTGACAAATCGACTAATCGATGCATTTCACATCGACTATTTGATTAATCGATAGGGCGCCTCTGCCTTTGAAGTGAGCTCGCGACCCCCCCGCGTTTCAAAGCGGCAGCACCATGTGCAGCCCAGGGTCTCCAAGTGGCACGGCGGCTTTGAAGTAACCTCCCCCCCTCCCCGCTCTTTCTGAGAGAGGCAGCATGGGGGGGGGGGGGCTTGTAGACTTGACTATCAGTCAACCAGCCTTTCACATCCCTAATCGCCGGCCCCTCTGAGGCCATGGGGGGCGGTTCCCCTAACCAGCCACCAGCAGCACCCGGGACACCTGAGCAGGGGGTGGGCCAAGGGGCGCTGTGAGCCTCCCCCCCCCCACCATCCACCCTCCTTAAAGGCTCGCATCATTGGCAGGCTCTGGCCTGGTTGCCACCGCGCATGCGTACACCAGTGGTAGGCGTCGACATCTAATCTGAGGTAAGGAATTACACGCATGCGAGGAAAACCCGGGAGACTGGCCTTTTGCGGTTTCATCCGGGGACAGTATGACGTTGGAAACTCAGACAGAGCATGCGCAGTACCTCCTTAACCGACGCCTTTCCCTCCTGTCTAGCGGAAGCGCATGCGCAAATGTACTATGTATGGCCGCTGTGCCTTCTGGGAGTTGTAGTCCGGAAAGGCCCATTCAATTGGGCACCGCTGCGGTGTAAGCGCTCCCCCGGCGAGCTCGTCCCCTGTGGGCGGGGTGAGTGTGTCGTCCGGCCCTATGGCGGCGGAGGTGGGAGGTCAGCGGCCTGCAGCTCCGGCCAATGGGAGGATCGTGTCTAGAGGGGGCGGAGCTCGCTGTGTTTTGTTCAATTGCCATTGAGAAGCGTTGTTCATATGCGGAGGGAGGCGGCCCGGGCAGGCTTTGGAAGGCAGGTACCTGGGGGGCGGCGTGGGAGCCCGGGAGGGAGAGCGGCGGGGACAGGCACAGGCGGGGGGGCAGGCGCAGATAAATCCGGGAAGGGGGGCGAGGTGCGAGCACAGGACTGCTCTGCCCGGGGGCGGGCGCGGG